AGAAAAAAAAAAAAAATCAGGTCACTGCCGCAGTGATCTAGGTATTCTGTAAGGTCACTGCCTCATTGATCTTCTATGTAATGCAACAAGTGTTCTTTTCCTGTAGGTATTGTGTACCGTCACTGCCACCTTACTGCATTATTTCTTATTGTGTGTGTTTGCCTGGATGCTCTGTCACGCCGCCATCTTCTACTTTCTGATCATAAAGGCTGAACTGAGAGCAAAACTCCAGCCACAGATGAAATGGTTTTACGCTTTAGGGTGGGGTAAGACAACGTTTCTGCGTTGCATCCTCGAATACTCAAGCTGGCCTTCAACCAACGTGATCCGTTACCTCACTTTTTAAATTTCGTTCGTTTCAGGTTTCCCTCTGCCAATAGTGGCTGCTTCATTAACAGTAACACTAACTGGTACCAAACCTCGTGCAGCGGACAACTGCTGGCTAACAGTAGAACATGGGATCATTTACTGGACGTTTGTCGCTCCAGTCGCATTAGTTGTCCTTGTAAGTATACTCCGATATCACGCCTGACACATGGGTTCGAATCGCGTTCAAGCCTATATTTATGTTTTTTCGGGCTTTATTTTCACAACTGCTACTGTTTAAATTGTGTACATAGCCACGATGATCATCATGCTTTACTACTTTTCTCTTCTTTCCAGATCAACTCTGTTTTGTTTATTTTCTTGCTGCGTCGCATCGGCAGAGTTACAAAATTCAGAGAAGTCAACATGGTACGGGCTAATCAGGTGAGGGCCTGGATCAGACGCTCTGCAATGCTCTTGCCAGTGTTGGGTATCACGTGGTCTTTTGGCTTCCTCACGTTCGTTTCATCCACTGAAGTGTTTCATTACCTTTTTACCATCTTAAACAGCTTACAAGGATTTTTTATATTCCTCACCTTTTGCATTCTCGACGATAGGGTAAGTTGTCAGACTTTGATCAGTTTCGTCGTTGTAAACGCTTTTGTGTTTGGAACCTCGGGTTCTCCTTAAAGGGATTATAGATTATAAAATTTTGATGCTAGGAAGATTCGAAGGAAAAATTGGCCTGGCTCACGATTACGATTCTCCCCGTGGAAATACAACCAGCGTGGGGTGGGGGCTACCTATTCTGGACAATTTGTAAAATTTAAACTACAAAGGCAAGAGAGAAGAAAAATCAGTATTAAGTTGTGACAAGAACCACAAGGAAGGTAGTCCTTTAAACGCGGTGTCTCAGTCTGGCTGTCACTCAAGTCGTCATGGAACGATTCTTTTGGAGAATTAGGCCTGCTAAACAAGGTCGCAAGAAGCTTGGGTATTCACTTTGGTAGGAAACAAACTTGCACCCAAATCAGTGCGAGTTTGTGGCTTTGCCCACCGAACATGACCGTGTGGGACTAAATCGTGGACGTGAAACAGGTCTTTTGCACCTTTTGTGCACGGTCACGCCCATTTGGGAGAAATCTTGCGAGTATGTCTGGGCTATGCACCCAACCGCAAGTGTGCACCTGAGTTCAACTTGCGACCGCGTTTACGCCTCGTTCTGGTTAAGAGCGTGCGCACTGCGTGACGCCCGAATTACAGGTAAACATGGGGAACATCGTATTCGACAAAAGGATGGATTTTTCCAATCTCCGCCAGAACAACCTTATTCGCATAGTCTTTCCAAGACCTGTCTATCTTCGCACGAGGTTGCGTCAAAAGTGACTTAAGTTGAGGTTTATTATTGGGATTTTTCCATAACATTAAAAACTCAAAAATCAAGATAACGCGCCTCGTATACAGCAATGAGCTTCTTTTCACTCTTCTCATCAGGTAAAGGAAGCTCTAATAACTACGTTGTGTAAGCGGAATGCTACGTCTCTCAAGGAACAAGCAGAACTTACGGAAAGACATGCGCATCGAAGACACACTGCACCAACAGGTGAATAAAGAATTATGGGTAGACGATGCAAATGTCAAGGAGAGGGTGGGTGGGTGTAAGTGGGCTATAATAGAGAATAGGAGACATACGAAACATAGCCGTCGATTAGTTCGATTAATCCAGATATCTGGCAAGGGACCTGAAATTTCAGGGATAGCCTTGATTCACTGGGAAATATAAATGATAGTTTTTTTTGCTTTATGATTAACAGCGGGGGCGACCTCTACCCTCTTCAAGGCTCTTTTAATTCGCCAAACGAAGCAATGAATAAAGAACACAATGCCCCCGAAAAAAAGAACGAACAGATTAACAAGAGCGAATGAAAATATCACTTTAACCAAAAATGTATGAAATCCTTCATCGAGCCAAATTTTGCTCGTTAGAGACTAAGAATGGTCAATTGGACCGATCTATGGCGAAAAAGAAAGTTTTAGAGAAAATTTGTGCTTTTCTTTAAAAAGGCGGCGCAGATATCAACTGTAACAGCGGGTTTTTTTGTTACATCGGTGATGTATTCTCTGCCCATAGCATGTTGCACTTAGCTTTGGAAGTAGTACGAAAAGCGGCAGGAGAAAAAGTAGGGGAGGGGTGGAGAAGCCTCCTAGACCCTTGCCCTATTTTTCGCTCCCCTCACTTTTGCACTGCTTTCCGACTAACCAAATTAGAATTGAAGTTGGCTATAATCATCTCATTTTCAATAAAAACTCTTGAATTACATTATCCGATGATCCAGTTATTGATAACACTCATTGAACCCACTTAATATAATAACAATGATTGTGGGTACTCAATAAATCTCTCACGTTCCTTCTTCTAACTCATTTACAGTTGCTACTGCAATAAAGACTGATGGAAAGCAAAATCAAGGATTCCTCGACCTAACTGAACGGAAGATGAAGCCAAAATTTCAAACGTGGATGTTGGTCGAATGACTTCAAAAGAATTCGAAGAAGGCCTATGCAAGTTCTATAGTGTCTTGATGATACTTTGAGTTTACCAAAGGTCGACAGTTTTTGCGTACGTGTCGGCCATAATTCATCGCAGTTTCAAACTCGTTTCCAAGCTCTTAGCTTGCAACATCCAAATCCAGAGATGAGGATTTCTTTCGTCCTCGAATAGCAGTCGCTTAAGACGAGCCGCTAAATTTGAACACGACACAGAGAAGACCCAGAGACAGGGATTAAACTTCTTCAATTTGATAACTTAAATTCCAGAAATGTTTTCCTTTCTATGATTAATTCTTGGTTGCCTTTGTATGTTTTCAAAGCTACATTGGTGATTTTATCGAGGATGCAGACTGCGGATAGTGTCAACTACTTGAGTTAAACGCTCTCTAAAATGTCGTAATAGAAAACTGTTTTGAAGCAAGCGCGAAAATTTGTTAAGTATTGATCTTGTCCTAATGTCCTCCCCCATTCTTTTTTCTTTAGTGTTGAATATAAACAGAATGAGAGAGAATATGTATTTATTACTCACGTTTTTTAATCGTAATAAACAAAGAATGATTCAATTCTATTTTTCTCGCAGTATTTTCTTAATGAGACAGAGAACATTATCTAATCGTTCCTTGTGGAGAAAGCTAGTCCCAGGTAAAGTTTGGGACAACCTGTCCGTTTTCCTGTCGAAAATCAGGATAAATACGGCGGGAAAAGGTTTGGAACGAAATTAGACTGCAAGCAGTCGCTTTCTTGCTCGAAACAAGTTCCGTGGGGAAGAACGCAAAGAAAAACGCTACACAGGTGAGCGGTGCACGCGAGCCACAGGTCACGCCTGCAGTCACGCTCGCACTTATGATGACGTCACACCAGCACGAGCGCGCGCACCAGTTTAGTTCAAAATGGCTGTCGGAATGTGAAGCTTGTAAATAACAGCTCCCTTAAGATGTACTTGGTAACAGAGCTAAATGGTATGGTGAAAAGCAAAATTCCACTGGAGAGACCAGACACAGAAATTTCCTTTAAGCTAAGGTGAGAGAACTAAAAGATAACGTTTGTACTAGTACCACGGTACAAAGTTTACGCAACAAATAGGAGCCGTACAGAACTTTTAACCCGTCTCTTCCGCGCGCTCAGGACTTTGTTAGTCTTTCATACTCGTCCAACTAAACAAAGGTATTTTCCAACTTTCTTAGCTGGTGACGAATTATGTTTTTAACTCTGATCTACTCATCTGTGTCTACAGCTACTACCGTGCCGGAAATAAACTCGTTGCAAATTTGAGAACCCGGATGTTTTTTCCATAGTAAATTTTGCCGTCGTGTACCCTGCTTCCAAAACTCCTTTCTTCTCTATTCCTCGATCAAATGTGAGCCGCAAAAGGCGACACACGAAACGACGAGCAAGAAAACGACGTCTCGAGAGCAGAAAGAAGAAAGAAAACCTCTGGGACAAGGGTAGTCTCGTGCGCAGACGCTCTTAGGGCTCGCGGGGAAGAAGATTGCGTGACGAGTCCCAAGAGCGTTCTTAAAACGTCACGCAATGATAGCTTATCATGACATATAGCCCAAAGCCGGTACCATTGTGGGATTTTATTGGTGGCTCATTGTACCGATATTTGCTTCATGATGATTACACTAAATTTATATTTATTTGTTTATTTATTCACCTTACCAACCCCGTGAACAGACAACAAATGGTTAGGGCTTAAGCCATGCAACCGTCTCAATGTCGCTTTCATTTGTTATCTGACCATTCTCTTTGTAATTCCCCCCTTAAATTCGTACTCATCAAGGCAGAGCGAAAACTCGCGCATTGTAACTGGACAACAAGGTAGCTTTATATGTATTCTTAATTTGATAAAGAACAAAGGATATTTTAGCCTAAAAATTCCTTCACGTTTTAAAAAAAAAAACACCCTGAAGTTTGAAAAACAAAAGCCACTGAAAAAGAAAACATAAAACGCCCGAAAAAATTGTCTGGAAAAAGTTGGCAAGTTTCGGCTCCGTCCCTTCAGGTACGCTTCTCTCTATCCCTCTCGATTTTCTAACAGTAACTCATAACAATTAACCATTATATCACCTAATTCATGTAATAAACGCACATTTGACTGTCCTACGCTATGTTCCTCTAAAATCAGGCTCTGTGAATTGGCACCGTTTGTTTCTTGGTAAATTGTAAATAGACTTGTCTCTCTGTGTTGGCATTTTCAATGGAACTCAAATTCGGCGCGTGAAATGGAGATTTTAAAGATTTCCCGACTCACTCCGTTTCCGATCTGGTGATTTGGTCCAGGGTGGACTCCCTGATAAAAAGCACGGGGGGTGCTCGTCGTACTTTTCAGGGGTAAAAAAGTAGTTTTGTTATCTCTTTTAGAGTGTTCAGCCTCAAAAGGTCCACAGTGGAGGCTTTTTCGGTACTGTTAGGGTATTGAGCTGAAAAAAATATGACAGGAGATGTGTTACTTTAGAATTGGTGAAAATAATTTCAAGCCACACCCACAAAACAGGATCTTGGTACTTCTTAGGGGTCCTTTTCAAAATTTCCAACGAGCGCCTCCGTGCTTTTTATATGCGAGTCTCCCCGGGGATTTGGTTTGTCATGGTTTACAGTGGTATTAGATTGAACAACCCATAAAAAAAGGTGAATTGACACCAGAAAGGAACCTTACTGTCTCGTTTGACAAGGGGCTTAAAGAACGGCTTGACGAAATATTTTAGTAGAGATTTGATTTTCAAGTTCTTACTGCTCTGATAATCTTTCTGTTATAAGCAACGAGAGACGAGTTTTTTATTTTCTCCAATTCACTGGCATCCAAACACTTAACGAAAAGAGTATTATTCCAGAGCCGTTCTTAAAGCCCCTTGCTCAGAATCAAACAAACTCCAAGCAATTTTATAAAAGAACTATTTCATATTTTTTAAAGAGCTTTGAACTGTACACGAAATGACAATTGCAAGGGACTTCCTGCAATGAAAATATACAAAGTGCTCGGATGAACGACGCGCTGTGAAATAATTGCACAGAATTGTGCAAGAGTGCTGTCCGCCATTGTAATTCAAATCAAATTCTCACTGCTCGGTGATTTCCAACAATTACATCAAACACCTCACTTCTTCTTCAATGAAGGCTAAACTGGATTTATTTGGACAAGAACGCTTGCACAAAACCTTGCAGTATGAAACACGATTGTGTTTAAAACACCTCAAGGGCAGTATATTTTTAGTATTTACACCTGTCCAGTTCTTAAGCATTTTCAGTTCCATATAACATAAGACCAACAACGAGCCTTGTTTGTCTATAAATATCTGAGTTTCTCTAACAAAAATATAAACTAAAACTCTGGTTTCTCTTTCTCTCTCTCTCTGTTCTGGGCGACTTAAAATGGATATGGAAATAAAGACAATAAAATAGCGAAAAGGATGCAAGTATGAATAAATTTATAATATTGAAATATGTTTTGTTTGACCCTTAGAAATTCTTCTCAAATTCCTGTAAAACCATTACGATTAAAGCACTGGCAAAAAAATCATTTTCTTTTAAAAACAGATTATCAAGCTGGTCTTAACACAATCAAGGAAGGGATACCAAAGCTGCGGCTGCTTGTAACACACAGCGTCAATTTGATTCAGACATACATGTAGTAATCCACCAGCAAAAAAAAAAGATCAGATCAACCAGCACAAAAAAAAATGACATACTTAGAACACAACCCTTTCTTAAAATTCTACTACTCTAGAGGATAATGAGACATTAAAACATACACATTGTTCACAGAACAATAATCTGCCACCACCCCAATCCCATTCAATTTAAGACAAAACACAAAGTATGTCTGGGTCACAAGGAAAACACAGGACGACACTTCTGAGATCCACCAACAACTAAAAAATAACCTTTGCCAAACGTTCTACCCATGGTGCAAGAAGGACAAAACATTAAGCAATGCTGTCATCACTTTTTTTTCTAAATATCTCTCTTAAGAAGGCATCTGCTTGCCTTGCCTGCCAACAACATATCTGTGATTATTTGTCTTTAGAATTTTTTAAGCACCTAATACTGCTGATACATGTTCTGTGGATAACCTGCCTGCTCACTGGCAGGGTAGCCATCATAATTGCCGTACATTCCTCCATCTTGATTGGGTGGTACCCCTCCTGGCCACGAACCTTGCAGTTTGGCCACCACTGCAGCAGGCGCTACACTGCTAGGAGCATTGCTGATAGGTACATAGCCAGACGGGTAAGAGCCAGCATCTCCACTACTGATTGGACGGCCAGAATTCGGTAGGCTGTAGGCCCCTGTTAAAAAAAGGAAAAAACGTTAAATCTTAGTGAGCTTTCATTCATGAACTGACTTGCCTTGCTGTCAAGACCAGGGTGTACTCTAATATATTCCCAGTATTGCTTTATTAACAATAATACAAGACCAATGGCCAAGACAGTAAAAGACAGAGTTGGCAAATTATAAGGCATGCTAGCTCCAGATTAAGGAGTTCGAGTTCAACTGCTGGCTGGGGTCAAGGCACTCCACAGTGCTTCTCTCCTCGCAGGAACTAAAATTGAGGGTAACCTGCCATGATTTCAGACGAGTGAAAGTTTGGGAGAACGAGAACTGCTGTGGGAACACGAGCTGTAGGCGAGTGTTTCCACAGTTTTTTCAAGTTCTCCCAAACTTTCACGAGTGTTTCTATAACTCAATAGAAACATGGAGAACATGTTTTCTATTTCTTTTAGTACACAGCGCAACAAAAAAAAGGAAAACAACTTGTTAACTTTGATAATCAAAATGCACATTCTCTTTGCTCGTGCCATCATTACGTCAACAGCTCATGCTAGTTCTGTGTTTGTATCCAGTTATAGAAACATGATTTTTAACCAATCAGTGCACTTATTTTCTTATGACTGTTTTCTAATTCATGTTAACTGCAGCATAGATGCCAGCCATAATAATTATTCTAAATAACTTCTGTCAAACCATTCTTGTATGCATTTGCATTTGTACATTTGTTTGTGCCATAAAAACAAATCATCAAATGTCTATTACCTGTATTGGGTTCTAAGTTACCTCAGCCTCTTTCTAAAGTGAACAGACTGTTCACTGGCAATTGCCCAGAACTCGCATGTTTTAGACAGCAAAGGACATAAACACTTAATTAGGTACAAACCTGGGGGTAAAGGGCGGGCTGCATAGGTTGCCGTAGACGGGACCGGCGTGCCAGTAGTTGGGGGCATATCCGTTGCTGCTGTTGTAGTCACCACTGAAACACAATGTCGTAAAAATTAGCACAGGAGCTCTCAATTTTGATTGGCTGGGAATCTTGTATTTATTACCTAGACGTACCCTCTATTGGCACACCAAGCTGCTGAAGTGTGTATTCTGCAGCATAACTCTTGGCTTCATCCACGGTGCGACAAAGTTTGGGAGGCTGGTACTGGGTGGCTAGTCCAGGAATGGATACCTTGAAAAGAAATCAACAAAGGATTTCCATCACTTGAGATCATTTGAATCAACATGACAAAAGTTGTTTTGCTTGTGTTTGAAAATTAAAATAATCACTAACAATTATCTAGGTAGACACTATTTTGTCTCAGTTTACAATCTACTTTTGGCAAACTGAAACATACATTCTGATTTTACAGATCCCTATTGCATTATTTACATGCATCTGACCACATGTCATACACGTTTTAGCTGTTAAATGCAAATTCAAAGGTAATGTTGATTGGTAACTAGCTTTGGTGAGGTACTGTACTATTCCCAACACAAAACGTTTTCTAACCTTGTGAAGAAACAGCTGAATATCCTGAGGGCCCACCGTACTGTGCAGTGTGTAAACTGGACTACCCCACTGGTTCTTTTGGCAGACATCCTCTAGAACCTAAGTTGGTACACAATAAATTGACACTATTAAGCACTTACAGTGTAGTGACAATTGAAAACTGGATAGAGTCTTGTGGGAGCTTGCTATATTTATTGAAGGTTACTGTTTACCTTCACAGGTTCTGTTTGTTCAGCCCAGGAATGGAAATAACACTCACACATGCCAACTTGCCAAGGCAAGTCTTGATCCCCTTGAGCACTTAAAGGACTCTAGTCAGCCACACCTTTGTTTTTGTTTACATGCGAGAGTTTGGCTATTATATTTGGAGCATGTCGAAACAAAGGAAATCACTGTGAAACTACTTAAGATAACTTAACATACTTTCAGGAACACAACTTACAGTAAAGCAATAAGACTACGCTTCACCGTGCAATATCAATAATTTTGATGGCATCGAAAATGGCGGAGGCTGACTAGGGCCCTTAAAAGTTTGTACACTTTCCAAGGTTATTCACCCAGTGAGCCAGCACCATCAAAATTAATTCACTATCTCTGAGTGCAAAAAATAAAATGGATCTCTCTTCCATGTCTACATGACTTAGATTTGACCCAAAAAAATCCATTCTGATCATGCAACGGCATTGAAATAAATGTAATGTGACTGAAAGGCTGTTACTTGTTTGTGTACCTTTGTTTACAAATGACGAAGGATGAGTGGATTGTGTGTAGATGTCTCACTGTTCACTAGCAAAGACAATACTACTAAAAGCCTTAAAATAAACTTCTACTCTCAATTTTCGCCCTTCAAAAAAGTACTTTCACGTCCCCAAACTGTGCTCTCCATTTCTTTTGCTCCCTATTCTTTTTCATTTGGATGCACTGCAGAAGTCAAAAACAAAAAAGAAGGATAGCAATCCCACCTGTGCTGGTGATTTGAGGGCATGTGGCTTCAAAGTCATGGGATTAGTGGGTGTCAACTCCATTCCCGGCACCAGATCAAACATGCGTTCCTATGGTAACAAGCGAAATCAAAAGACTAATTTTAAACCTGAAGCTAGTTTAAACTTGCTGCACTTGTTGTTCCTTTTCTTTATTCAAGGTTACTGTAGACCTTTGACAAGGAAACTGGTGCAATCTTAAAAATGAACCAGTTGAAATTTAGGAGAGGGGTGTAATTTGAGACGAGAGATTGGATACATCAGTACAGTAAGAAATTGTGCAAAAATTCCTCTGAAGTTGTTCAGTAAAAAAAGTTAAAAGATTTCTAGTAAATGCTGTCAAAAAAATCCATTTCACTGCCAGTCATTTCTTTTCAGTTCAAATTCTGCATTATGGCCTACTGCAAAATTCTGTGCAATGGAAATTGTAAACACTCAACATGACTTGCAAAAGAAAGTTTGCCTGCATCAGAGGAACAGAACAAGGAACTACAGCCAGATGTTATATCAAGTACCCAGAACAGAACATTCTTTAAGATTACGGAGCTGAGCTATCATTGTGCAACAACAAATGCTACTACGAGTGAATATTATACAACAAAATAAAAAAAACTGTTACAGGGAGACAATTCCAGTAAAGTACCTACTCTGGTGTTCAGTTTCAAGCCTTTTAACAGTTTTAGTTGGAGCACCAGAGTTCATACACATTTTGTATAAAAAAATTAAATAGTTTTTCCAAGAATCAGATAACTTTCCACTAAATGACCTTGGTAGAGAGCTCTTGCCATGTTAATTACAGACATTCCACACTGACAAACTTCACCCATGAAGGTCAACAGTAACCTTACTTAAGCCTGTTTTTGCAAGATCATTGATCTATGGATGCCAAAAAACTGTGACATACATTTCAGGTAGAAAAGCAAGGAAAATAATTACACTAATTGACAGAAAAACTTCGCATTGCTTTCTTCAAAATGTTTTTCAGTATTGTATCTCGCAAGATGTTTCCTTTAACTTGTACGAGTTACAGAGTGCCGGCTATTTTGCCCTATCTAGGAAAAATTACCAAGGGTTAGACCAGTGTATTTCAACAAAATAAGCAATTAGTTCTACACAATTTTTCAACAGTGAGACTAAACAAAACTCTCTTATTGATGGGTGAAGCTTAGATACCACGAGCAAGACTAAAAAAAACAACTCCCAGCTTGCTCTTGGGATAAGCAGCTCTACAATTTTGCTTGCCCTGGGCAAGTCTTGGTTTGCTCTTTTAATCATTTAGTTGGCACATGACTTGCCTGGTCCCTTGCCTAACGGGCAAGTGACGGTAAGTGAGAGTGAAATTTAATTGCCCAGAAGGAGAATCTACTAGTCCAGGACAACCGGACAGCACTTTTTTAAAGCCCCGCAGGAGTCACCTATAATATTATTATTATTATGTTTACCCTCTCACCCAACTGCCTGGCAGTGATGTTAATGATTTAATAGCTAGCATACCTCCTGTCTGCCTCCTCTCTTGCCATACCCATCTCCATACCAGCCAGCTCGCACTGCAGGGTAGTAGCCTCTGAAGCCATTGAAAGGATAACCACCTGGTGCAGGTAAATACATTCCCTTATTTCCTGCTGCCCTGCTCCCAGCAGCAGACCGTCCTCGCCCTCTTGTACGCACCATTCCAAAAGGAGGCCTCACACCTCTGACAAAAAATATTCACAAACATAAGAATATACAGTGGAGTCCCGATTTTTCGAACCTACTGGGGAAATGAAAATTGGTTCGAAAGATCAGTTAGTTTTAGAAATCAAGGGTAAAATTAAGTGTACGACTGAGGAGGGGACATCACTTTTGGTTCGAGTTATCAGGAGTTTCGAAAAAATCAGGGTTCGAGAAATCAGGATTCCACTGTAAAGGTAATTAAAAGTAAAGTCTACATACAAGCCAAGTGGCCCATCAGGTTGGCACTTATTTCTGGTTTCTTTAGCATGAAACAACTAGGAGTATTTCTACTCCCCCCTGGATGGGATGCTAGTCCATTGCAGGGTTAACCCCTCCCCCCACACATTATGTGGCACTGTGAGAGTAGTGTCTTGCCTAAGAACACAATGCAATGTCCCCATGAGGGCCTTAACCCAGACTTGATCCATAGATTAGCATAGGCTCCTTTCCTCAAGCAGTAGTCAACAATAATATTAAAAATAGAGCTCTAGCAAACATAAACAAAAATTTCTCTTGGAATTCTCACCCCATTCCAGCAGTCATTGGAGCACCATACATGAAGTACTGACTGCTGTATGTTGGGAAGCCATAAGCAGCAGTGTTTGAGGGGTACTCGTATGGTGTGAAGCTGGGGTATGTCGTCGCACCCATCACAGCTTTGGCTGCCGCTTTGGCTTGGCGGTGGTCTTTGTCCACAGGCTTGGCAAGAGTTACTTCAATTTCATTGCCGTCAACTTCTTTGCCTGGAAAAAGGTTGATTGGAGTTGTAAGAAGGCTTTTAGACACAGGGCTCTAAGTAACCGGAAAGTCTTCTGCCATGTTTCATGTATTTTCTGACACTTGGCTTAGGACTATAGTGTGAATAAGGCATCTTGATTGGCCTTAGTTTTTTTTAGTTTGTCATCTGTCTCAATCTTTTCCATTCTTAGTTGCCTTTGCTACTTTTAAGTGCTTTTTCATTGTTTTTACTATACATATATTTTAAAGTTTTATTAATGTGAATGAATACATAACATGATTATCATCATTACTGTACATATTTCTGTTTTTCTTAAACTTTTCGCTAGATACACAACCTCACAAGCAAACCTGTTGCTCTAAAACAAATCATGTTTAGACACAGGGTTTTTGCTGTTGTTGTTTACTTTAGTTATCTTACATATTGAGGGTTCATTGATTTGAAGGTCACTCTATACATCAGAAAAAAGTCAATCAAACAGAAAATACCCAGACATAGTTCTTAAGTGCATTTGGTAAGCTTCAAAATACTTTTCCAAAGATGATNTTTAACAGTTAGTTGACATGGTGAACCTTTTTTGTTTTTCAGTACAGTGTCAACAACTTCTGCAAGAGTACTTCTTTTTTTCTTGATACACAGTTTTGCACGGCATCTAAAACTACAGCATTCTAATTTTACACTCGTCAGCCTTCAAGCAACGGACTGAGTTACAATGAATTATAAAAAGTTGTCCATATGCCATCCTTGAACTCGTAGGTTTTATCTGACAGTACCCTGTGTGGGGCAATTCTGTCCGGTTGGCGACTGGTCTGATAGAACTGTTCAGATGTGGCTTCACGCAGCACATTCTCATTCTAAAAAATTGAAATAGAACAGGAAAACAATACATACTACAGCAACCAAGGACAGGTCATGTACTTCATATGCAACTGTCCATTGCTGCTTTCTTCGGTTAGCTTTAATTTCTATTTTTCAATAAAGGGAGCTAACCCGGGGTGGGGGGGACTCCCATGTAAAAAGGATGGGGTGCTCATCGTAACTTTTTGGGGTTAAAAAAGTAGTTTCGGTTCATTTTAGGGTGTTCAGCCTCAAAAGGTCCACAGCGGGAACTTTTGCAATACCTTTCAGGTTAATGAGGCAAAAAAAATTGACAGGACACAATGTGTTGTCTTACAATTGGTACTTCTTGAGGGTGAAAAGAATTGCAAGCCACGCCCACGACACAGGGTCTTGGTAACTCTTAGGGTTTCTTTTTATGCAAAATTTGCGGCTAGCACTCCTGACCTTTTCATATGGGAATTCCCCCCCCCCCCCCCCCCCCC